CTCAGCTAGATTGGCTGCCTGTTTCGCTGACTGTTTCATGGAGGAACAATCCATCTCGACACGAGAAATGCCTCGTTGTCTCGACAACATGATTTTTGGGGGTTGTTGCGTCGAGGCCTGGATCATGAGGATGATTAATGATTACTGTATCAGGATAGGTAAACCAGGGGCGCTGATCGAAACCAAAACCAGGGGCACTGATCCGGAGGAAAACCGAAAGGTAGTTTTGAGGCAAAAGTAACTCTTGTGGGTTGCCTCAATGATTGGCTGGCCAGATGTCATAACTCGACCCCATTCAATGTTCAAGGCTTTTCAAGTTTGGTCAAGAATTTGAAGGTTGCAATTTGACCTGGCCTGCCACAGTGCCTGGACCTTCCGAAGCCTGTTCTTCTGGTTTCAGGGCTTCTTCTGAAACAAACAAAAATTTCTCTAACCCGGTGCTGCTTGGTCCATGCGGTCCATGGATTTTGCTTTTTCAGGACCTTGGCGGGGCTCAACGGGGCCTGCACCTTCAGTGTCGCCGTGTGACTCTAAGGGCAATTCTTCAGGCACAGTACTGGGTTTGGGTTTAGAGCGTTAGTTTTAGGGTTTTGGGTGTGTACCCTAAGCGACCCCGTGTCCTGCACCACGGTGATATGGCAGTTGATGTCCTGGTCCTGCACAGAAAGAAAACGCATTCTGCCGCATAGACCCCAGACACAACACAGTCCAAGAGTACCCCATTTCGAGGAACAACAAGGAGAATTTCGTAAGGAGTGGCATTTGGCTAAACCGTGGGCCTGCCCACCACGGACCGTCCCCTGGATTCGGCCAGAGGTTGACAGCGCCAAGCCCCATTCGGCCAGGTCACAGTCTTTGTTGACCTGTTACGGCGATGCGGTTCAGGGCTTTTGCCACCCGCCTTGCAAGGACGATATGGTTATGACTATAACACAGCTCGAGAAAGGAACTGATATCCCCCACTCCTTCGGGCAATGAATAAAATCAGCTCGCAACTGACCGCAGCCCCAGGGGCAAAGCGAGATCACAGGCTGTAAGAACACCAACACCAAATCAGACGAGCCTCTCTGCACAGCGAGCTGTGAGGGATCACACGAAAAGACAGCAAAGCCTAACAGCCTAACCACCTAGCCCGAACTGAAACCCGAAGATGCATTCAAGAATGCGCAGGGCCGGCTCAAATGCTGCAGCGTCTCAACGCATTATTCAGTACCAAGTGGTTCAGGCTCTCGTGATGTGGACTGAGGGTGTTTCGGATCGAATTAGGGTTTAACCACCCTATAGACTCGGAGGCAGGTGGAACCCACCAACACCACAAAATCCCAAACCCCAATGCCGAAACACACAAAAAAACGGGCCCCAAAACCCAAGATTTCAGCTCCAAAAGGAGTCAGAAAGTTTTTGGTGTGGGGCAACTAGAACTCCTACAAGCCAGACAGGGTGGAATTGTTTTTTGCATGTTGTTTTTTGGGCCCTTTTTGTTTTTTGTTTTCTTTGGTGGTGAGGGGGGGAGGTTGTTTGTACTTCCATAGGAAACCCTCTATTTGCGCTATGTTTTCACAGGAAACTTCTATTTTCTGTAATTATATTTTTATAATTGCAAAAGCCTCCAGGGTCACTTACTCTACAACCAAAAACCGGGGTCACTTAGCAGCTCCGAGTCCGCATCGTTTTGGTTCACTTAGCAACCAAGTTTCGGGTCACTTGGCCACCGGATTCAACTTTAGGATTCAGCCTGTAAGCTTCAAAACTCGTCGGATTCAACCTATATCTTGAGCACACCCCTCATTTGGCGATTCCGGTTCATCATACAGAATCATACATCTCACAGACCCCCGCTCATAGGCAATTGCGGCTCACCATATATCTTGAACACGTCCCCTTATTTGGCGATTCCGGTTCATCATATATCTACAACCCCACCCCTTATTTGGCGATTCCGGTTCTTCATATATCTGAAACACGCCCCCTTGTTTGGCGATTCCGGTTCATCATAGATCTTAAACACGCCCCCTCATGCCGCGATTCCGGTTCGTCATATATATATATATAAACATGCCCCTTGATTTCGCGATTCGGATTCATCATATATCTTAAACACGCCCCCTCATTTGGCGATCCCGGTTCATCATACACCTTCAACACGCCCCCTCATTCGGCGACTCCGGCTCCTCGCATATCTACAACACACCCTCTCATTTGGCGTTTCCGGTTCATAATGTATCTTAAGCACGTCCCATCATTTGGCGATTCCGGTTCCTCACATTTCTTACACACGTCCCTCGTTTGGCGACTCCGGCTCATCCTATATCTTAAACAAGCCCGTCACATGCGATTGCGGTTCATCGCCTCATTTGGCGATTCCGGTTCACCATATATCTACAACACCCCCCAAACACAATCACAATGAGCGCATGATGGGTTTCAAAAAAGGAGACTCATATACATTGAAGGAAGCTTGCACGGCTTAAAACAGCAGGGGGGCTGGGGGGGCGCAGCCCCCTTCCCACATTTGCAAACAGAACGCTCGCATGATATAGGATCTAAAAATACTCACATGCTTCGAACCAAGCTTGCACGGCTTAAAAACGCCCGGGGTTGGGGTGGGGGCGGTGGGGCTGTGGTGCTTTTGCACTGCTCAAAAAAACGCACCTGACCTGCCTCCCCGCCTCACACCGAACGGAACCTGGCGCACACTGCCTGGCCTTCCAGCAAAACGCAATGAGTGTTGGGTCCACCTAGGCAGATGCAGCATGCGAGCTGTGGCTGTAACTTGTGAGGCTTCTCCTCTTCGCTCCCCCATTGGCAGCACCAGACAACTCCAGAGAAGTAAGAAAGTTTGACAACCCGCAGTCGTGGTTGTCGGGCTCGTGAAGCCTCTCCTACGGTGCTCTCAGTTGGCTTCGCTTCAGGGCTCGGTGTAGGGGAGGATCTGGCCGTGCCTTCGGGTAGTAGGAGACCGTGATGTAGTGTATTCCCCTCCGTTGTCATTGGTGGTCTGTCAGCTCCACTGTGCAGAAGGTGTTCTGGGTGTTGTCCAGGGCTGCCGTCACCACTCTTCCCCCCAGTGCGACTCCGTCCATGCAAACAGGTGGCGCATGGCCTTGTTTGCCTCCAGCAGGAGTTCACTTCCCAGCAGTGGAGATGCTTCTTGGCTTGGTAGACGTGGGAAGCGTCTGGCGGGTCCCGGCTTCGGCGACATGTTTGCTCTGTCCCCCCTTTCCAACGCCAGGACATCTGCAGGGTGTACTTTTTCAGCCGTTGCACGATGTGGGCACACCCCCCCCCGCGCCTGTCGCCGCTTCTTCCTCCAATGTGTAATTAATTGGCCAACTGTCAGACGTGCACATCCGGGTGCTCCCCCTGCAATACTTTCTTCAATGATTCCCACTTTGAGCACCCATTCTGCGTTGGGGGTTGGGAGTGGTTTGTCCCCCCTTCGTGTCCCCCCTTTTGTGGTGGGGACTGTAGTCGCGCCAGCCTCGTGGCTGCTGCCGCCAAGTGATCTGTCACCCCCGGGAGTCCCACCTCGTCTGCGAGCTGCATGGCCTCGACTATGTGCGCCGCCGCTTCGACTGCGTGGTAAGCGCGTCTTTGGTCCCCAACTTCGCTGGCGTAAGGTGCATTCTCCGCTTCGGCTTGGGTGATATGGAGCGGAGTATAGGGCGGATGCTTGACTGCGGGCTCTATGTAAGGGGCTCGGTGTCCCCCACATCTCCTTGAGGTAGGTGTTGTGAGTGCTGGGGAATGTCTTCGTTGCTCTGGGCGTCTCCCTCTGCTTCGTCCGGCATGGTCGACCGTGGCGGGCTTCGGCTTCGATTGCCCCTCTTGGCGTGGTAGTAGTCGTGGAGGAGGTGCAGTCGTAAAACTGGAATTTCTCGTCGGCGTTGCTGGTCCCCCCCCGTTGATGAGCCTTCGGAGCGGTTGGGTGCATGCCATGTTGTCTGAACCAGGAAGGTCAGGTCGTGGTAGTTCTGGTTCGCGGCAGTGTCGTCGGTCGAAGTCTCGCTGCTGCTGTTGCTCCTTCATTCAGGGGGTTTCTTGGCTTGACCATCGAGCGGGTATATTCATCCCGGCAATGTACTCCCCCAGCCTTTCTCCCCTGATGAGGAGCCAGTGCTCGTTCCCCTCGGAAAAGTTTGCTCTGTGTGCTCCCGAGAAAATATATTCCAGGATATAGAGGAGCTGAATGACGTAATTCACGTTCTCCACCCCCAGTTGGCTCAACGTGGGACGATGTAGAGGCATTTGCAAGAGTTCCATTCTGATCTGATCTGTTGGAGTCGTCCTCGCCAGTCGCCAGGATGGAAGCGTCGAGCCCATGTTTTGTCTTTCTCTCTTTTTTGTTTCTTCCTTTGTTTGTTTCATGTGGTCCTTTCTTTCCTTCTATATTTCGTTCTATCTTTTCCGTTCGGTTTCTACCTTCTTCTTCTTCCCTTCCCATGAATAGCAAGATAACTTATGCGTTTCCTATGAAAGCAAAGAGGAAAAGAGGTTTTTGCTGGTAGAATATAGAGGGTTTACCATAGAATACAAGAACCCCCGCCCCCGCCGCCGCCGCCGCCACCACCACCACCACCACCACCACCACCCCCGCCACCGCCGCCGCCGCCGCCGCCGCCGCCACCACCACCACCACCACCACCACCACCAACAACAACAACAACAACAACACACACACACACACCAACACACACACACACACCAACACACACACACACCAACACACACACACACACACCAACACACACCAACACACACCAACACACACCAACACACACACACACACCAACACACACCAACACACACCAACACACACACACAGCAAAACACACACCAAAACACACACCAAAACACACACACACACACAGAGAGAATCTATGCACCACCACCGTCACCACCACCTTACACTTGACTAGGATGACAGAATCAAGGCACACTCAGGCCGGGTTAGCCGGTCCTATAATTGTTGTTCTTAGTGTTAATGCTGCATGGCACCTATGTGCAGAGCGGCTGAGGTTCCGAAGCGAATGCCACTTCAACATCGAGTCCCGAAGCACGATTACACGGAGCTTGGACATGTGCCCCAGTGGCTACAGGACAAGGAAAACAATGCCTACGAGGCTTTTGGTAGAAACCCACCCCCAGGGCATAAGCCGCTGGAAGAGGCCGGATTCCAACCTGCAGCAGGGACGATTTGTTGCTGCTCTACAAAGCATGCCGAGCGGAGGCTTGGAGATGGCGGGCCAGGCGCACTTTTGTCACAGCCTCAGGCCACGCCACAAGGGACATGAGATACTTGGCAATGGACTTGCCAAAATGTTGCAGCAAGGAATTGCTAAGCATTCAAAGGGAGGGCGATCCAGAAAGCGAGACTTTGCAGGAGCTTCACAAGCTCTTCTCATGGAAATGTTCAGTCGATCTCCATGCAGATGTGCGCAGCATTCCTGCCAGGACATGTTGTTTGCTCTCCCTGCCCGTGAACTGCTTCTTGACCTGCGCGAGATGCCGAGACCAACCCTCCAATGCGTTGTCCTGCAGCTGTGTCACCGGTCACAGGTGCCCTTGCAGATGATGAAGAAGCAATGCCTACATCGGTGCCTGTACGAATCTTACCTGTTCCCGTCGTTGCACAGGTCTCTGCGTCAATCTTTCTTGCACTGACTTCAATACCTGCTTGAGGAAACGTTTTATGTTCAGCTGGCACTGGTGCTATGCCCAGCGTGCATCAGCCTTCTAGGCAAAGACGCCTTCAGACAGATGCCTCAGAGTCGTGTTTGGATCCAGGCCTATGATGCTTTTGCGTGGGCTTTCCGCATGTGTTGGGCCGAGACACGGAACATCGCGTGTAGCCCACCTGGGTGCAGATGAAATGCGGACCGTGGGCAGGTTGAGCAGCCAAATGAAAGAAAAGCTTCGAGATCAGTTCCTGGACACGGTGGGACTGCCGGGGCTGCGGACTAGAGCTTACTGGTTCAGCAGTGAATTTTGGTCAGGTTCTCTATGTGGAGGACCGTTTCAGAGATCCCAATTGGACCCGTCAGGCTCATGGACAGACATGTACACACTAGTTTCGATGCAATCCTGGCTTCTGTTCAGGCGGCGCGAAAGCTAGGCGTCTTAGTGGCACCATCTGTAGCACCAGCGCTCTTGGCAACGAGGAGAGGGTAGAGCATGTTCCGAGCTGAAGAGTTGTAGCGCCGTGGGGCCGTGCAGGCCACAAGCACAGAGGAGGCTCGCACATTTCTCAGCATGCCTCGTGAGCGGAGTGTGGGCAGTTATGGACTGGAGGAGTGCGGAGGCACCCGCAGCCAAGCCGGCTCCACGGAAACGTCCCAGGCCGCCGATGCTGCCTACACCCTTGGCCTTGCAATGCCTTACTTTCCTCGTCTGTGCTCCAGCTCTCCGGCTTCGTCGCCAGGGCCG